CTGCTGAGAAAAAAAATTATTACTGGAAAGTTATTTTATGTGTTTATATATATATTTTTTGATGTGGAATATTTCAGATTTATAAAAAGTATGATGTACTGTCTCCGTCTAAATTTTTGTTCCCTCTCGCTACTTTCTTCTTTATCTCCCTCTCCGTTCTCTCCATCATTCCTTCCCTACCTTTATACTTTCATTTTATCTTACCTATTTGTGCTTGCAGGAGAGAGCGTAAGCTCTTGGACCCCGCCTTTCCTGCCACCGGTTGTCTAATGCCATGATTCCTAACCTATTTTTGTTACATAGTATCTACTTGTGAAATTTTAAAAAGGTGATCTCTCTTCTACAACCTGCTAATTAGGTATGTATTGTAAACATCTACTTTTTTCCCCACTGTCAATTCGGCTAAGTATTTTATATATCTCAATCATGTCTCCGCGCTCTCTTCTTTCTAGTGGGTTGGTTAAGTGCTTGCGTGTGTTGGCGTACGAGAGTGTTTTCCTCCAGTGTAAACAATATTTCTGACAAAAAGTCAAGGGAGAAGAGACAGGATGTAGACCAGAGGAAACCACACATTTAACAATACCCACACGTGCACAACTCCCCCCCCCTCCCCTGACGTGCATAACCCCCCTCCCCCTCACGTGCACACAACCCCACACCTAAACAACCCCATGACACGTGCATACATCCCCCCCTCCCTCCCCCGACCTGCACGCAACCATCCACATGTGAACAACTCCCCACACAACACCACGTTCACAACCCCCACACAACACCATGTTCACAACCCCTACACAACACCACGTTCACAACCCCCACACAACACCACGTTCACAACCCCCACACAACACCACGTTCACAACCCCCACACAACACCACGTTCACAACCCCTACACAACACCACGTTCACAACCCCCACACAACACCACGTTCACAACCCCCACACAACACCATGTTCACAACCCCTACACAACACCACATACACAACCCTTACACAACACCACGTTCACAACCCCCACACAACACCATGTTCACAACCCCTACACAACACCACATTCACAACCCCTACACAACACCATGTTCACAACCCCTACACAACACCATGTTCACAACCCCTACACAACACCATGTTCACAACCCCTACACAACACCACATTCACAACCCTACACAACACCATGTTCACAACCCCTACATAACACCACATTCACAACCCCTACACAACGCCACGTTCACAACCCCCACACAACACCACGTTCACAACCCCCACACAACACCATGTTCACAACCCTACACAACACCACATACACAACCCTTACACAACACCACGTTCACAACCCCTACACAACACCACGTTCACAACCCCCACACAACACCATGTTCACAACCCCTACACAACACCACATACACAACCCTTACACAACACCACGTTCACAACCCCCACACAACACCACGTTCACAACCCCCACACAACACCACGTTCACAACCCCCACACAACACCACGTTCACAACCCCCACACAACACCATGTTCACAACCCCTACACAACACCACATACACAACCCCTACACAACACCACGTTCACAACCCCTACACAACACCACGTTCACAACCCCCACACAACACCACATACACAACACCCACGTTCACAACCCCTACACAACACCACGTTCACAACCCCCCCTCCACACACACACACACACACATACACACACACACACACACACACACACACACACACACACACACACACACCACACAGAAAACAAAGACTTGGGGGTTGATATCACGCCAGACCTGTCTCCTGCAGCACATATCAAGCGGATAACATCAGCGGCATATGCCAGGCTGGCCAACATACGAACGGCATTCAGAAACTTGTGTAAAGAATCATTCAGAACTTTGTATACCACATATGTCAGGCCAATCCTGGAGTATGCAGCCCCAGCATGGAGTCCATATCTAGTCAAGGATAAGACTAAACTGGAAAAGGTTCAAAGGTTTGCCACCAGACTAGTACCCGAGCTGAGAGGTATGAGCTACGAGGAGAGACTACGGGAATTAAACCTCACTTCGCTGGAAGACAGAAGAGTTAGGGGGGACATGATCACCACATTCAAGATTCTGAAGGGAATTGATAGGGTAGATAAAGACAGTCTATTTAACACAAGGGGGACACAGGTGGAAACTGAGTGCCCAAATGAGCCACAGAGATATTAGAAAGAACTTTTTTAGTGTCAGAGTGGTTGACAAATGAATGCATTAGGCAGTGATGTGGTGGAGGCTGACTCCATACACAGTTTCAAGTGTAGATATGACAGAGCCCGATAGGCTCAGGAATCTGTACACCTGTTGATTGACGGTTGAGAGGCGGGACCAAAGAGCCAGAGCTCAACCCCCGCAAACACAACTAGGTGAGTACACGTGTGTCTTACGGAAGAATTTTTGCTTTTAATTTATGGCGCTCACACCACTAACACGAGTTACACACTGTCATCATTGAATACCGTCGACCACTCTACCTAGTTGATCACACACACCGTCGACCACTCTACCTGGTTGATCAACACACACCGTCGACCACTCTACCTGGTTGATCAACACACACCGTCGACCACTCTACCTGGTTGATCACACACACCGTCGACCTCCTTGAGGTTACCTTGAGGTGCTTCCGGGGCTTAGTGTCCCCGCGGCCCGGTCGTCGACCAGGCCTCCTGGTTGCTGGACTGATCAACCAGGCTGATCAGTCCATCAACCATGAGGCCTGGTCGACTACTTGGTTGATCTACCTAGTTGATCACACACACCGTCGACCACTCTACCTGGTTGATCAACACACACCGTCGACCACTCTACCTGGTTGATCACACACACCGTCGACCACTCTACCTGGTTGATCACACACACCGTCGACCACTCTACCTGGTTGATCACACACACCGTCGACCTCCTTGAGGTTACCTTGAGGTGCTTCCGGGGCTTAGTGTCCCCGCGGCCCGGTCGTCGACCAGGCCTCCTGGTTGCTGGACTGATCAACCAGGCTGATCAGTCCAGCAACCAGGAGGCCTGGTCGACTACCTGGTTGATCTACCTAGTTGATCACACACACACCGTCGAACACTACCTTATTGATCACACACCGTCGACCTCAAGAGATCATCGACGGCACTTGCATGATCGAACATACACACACACTGTGCCTAGACCAGAGGGCGGAGTAGTGAAGACCGTGGATGGCACTAGAGCAGGGATTGGGAGATTTGTTGTTGTATCAGATTTAGCTACTCAGAACGAAGTGTCCATGTAGCACGGGCTATGGTGAGCCCGTGACCAAGGCTTGGGGGAGCAGGTGCACACTTTTATACTGGCGCCGGATACTCCTATCATCTCAGCTTCTGACGTAGTGACGTATCACCTCCCATTTCCTTCCCATCCTTGGCACTATTTTTTGGGGGGTAATCTCCCCTTTCCATCATATTTTGGTGCCTTCCCTTCTCAACCCCTTTGGTTGTTAGCTCATTTTCCAATCCTGTATGCCCTACCCTTCACTACCTTCCCAACCCTTCACCACCTTCCTTCTTCTGCACCTAAGAGGTCGAAAATCCTTAAATCACAGGATTTGGGCCGACTTCGACTGGCCAATGACACACACACACACACTACCACCCCACCCCAGGTACCATGTGTGAAAGTTGAGAGAGACTAGCCGCTAGCCTTTGGCCTACTACTACGGACAGAAACAATTAATCTATTATATAGGAGTAAATGTTGTATTTTAAAATATTATGAGTTAATATATACCTAGCTTAGCATTTTAATTACGTTTGTTGTAAAATATGTCACGTTCGCGGATTACAATTTATTATATTGTCCGATACGGAAGATATAATTTGTGTATGAATTTAATTGGATATTGTATATTTATTTTATGCTTCATATGCAGGGGGGGCGGTGTAGCTTACACTTGTGGGATGTATAAGTGGGGAGCAATATTATATCCGCCCCAGGGGGGGGGAGGTGTAGCTTACACTTGTGGGATGTATAAGTGGGGAGCAATATTATATCCGCCCCAGGGGGGGGGGTGTAGCTTACACTTGTGGGATGTATAAGTGGGGAGCAATATTATATCCGCCCCAGGGGGGGGGGTGTAGCTTACACTTGTGGGATGTATAAGTGGGGAGCAATATTATATCCGCCCCAGGGGGGGGGGTGTAGCTTACACTTGTGGGATGTATAAGTGGGGAGCAATATTATATCCGCCCCAGGGGGGGGGGTGTAGCTTACACTTGTGGGATGTATAAGTGGGGAGCAATATTATATCCGCCCCAGGGGGGGGGGTGTAGCTTACACTTGTGTGGGATGTATAAGTGGGGAGCAATATTATATCCGCCCCAGGGGGGGGGGGGTGTAGCTTACACTTGTGGGATGTATAAGTGGGGAGCAATATTATATCCGCCCCAGGGGGGGGGGTGTAGCTTACACTTGTGGGGTGTATAAGTGGGGAGCAATATTATATCCGCCCCAGGGGGGGGGGGGTGTAGCTTACACTTGTGGGGTGTATAAGTGGGGAGCAATATTATATCCGCCCCAGGGGGGGGGGGTGTAGCTTACACTTGTGGGATGTATAAGTGGGGAGCAATATTATATCCGCCCCAGGGGGGGGGGGTGTAGCTTACACTTGTGGGTTGTATAAGTGGGGAGCAATATTATATCCGCCCCCGGGGGGGGGGGGGTGTAGCTTACACTTGTGGGATGTATAAGTGGGGAGCAATATTATATCCGCCCGGGGGGGGGGGTGTAGCTTACACTTGTGGGGTGTATAAGTGGGGAGCAATATTATATCCGCCCCAGGGGGGGGGGGTGTAGCTTACACTTGTGGGATGTATAAGTGGGGAGCAATATTATATCCGCCCCAGGGGGGGGGGTGTAGCTTACACTTGTGGGATGTATAAGTGGGGAGCAATATTATATCCGCCCCAGGGGGGGGGGGTGTAGCTTA